GTAGCGCCATCTGTGACAAATCTATAAAAGTAAAAATTTTTACATATAACACTGGAAAAGCTGACAGCAATGTTCGATATTATTATAATATAACGAACGGTGTTTACGTAAGACATTAACAACCGTAACTTAAATTTCTATTTTTTGGTTTAATAGCACTAAAAAGTACCGTCATCATAGAGTACAGTTACTATTTGATATTAATGTCCTATTCTTTTGTCAGAGTCAGAATGATTTTCTTTGAACAGATTGATTCGAGATACTCAGTATTAGTACTCGTTCAGCGCTAGATTATAAACGCGGGAATGTACTATCTCGTTTAATTGAATACCGAATTGATTTTCGATCGATCCCGTTCGAATTGACTTCGAGAAATCTTGCAATACTGTTAGATGCCTCGGATCGATTCAAGTTAATACAATTAGCTTTTTTGCGATTTCGCGGCACTATGACAATGCAACCTCACTTACACGGAGGCTGATTCACAACTTCTTCTAGTGGAGTGATTGTGATTAAACATTTTTCGCTCGAACTTTGTGGTTCTCTCACATAACATTGTAGCGGTAAAGTTACTAGGTGTCTGTATATTTTAAATATTACATGGTTCAATAATATTGCTTTTCCTACAAAAGTAAAACGAAAATTATGTAAAAAAACATGTCAAAAATTTGTATACTTATACAACACAAAAAAGTTTGTACACCTACAAACTGCAAAAAAGTTTGTACACCTACAAACTGCAAAAAAGTTTGCATACTTACAACTGCAAAAAAAAATTTTTCTGTCAGTTATCTGAATTTCAAAAACAGAATTCACAACTTACGACATTTTCTCCTTCTTCATAATGAAATTTGCGTATAGCGTGAGCGTTATAAAAATACCCACTTTAAGAGGATCCTAAAAAACCTTTCTAAAAGCTGAATCCTATATGAGTACAGAATATGATTATTTTTGTAGTACTTGCCACGTTCTCCTGATAATTTAAATAAATATTTTACACTTTGAAGTTTGTAATTAGTGTAGCAATCTAATTACTCAACAGTACGGTCGCAAAACATTCATAGAAATAAACAAATTCATAAACAAATAGACTATTAAATACGAGATGCAATTAATAAGTGCAATTGACAGTACGTACCCAAATAACTTTTTCTCTGCCATGTGCCACTAACAATGTTTCATATAATGATCCTATTTTCCGCGTGTTTAGAGCTCATAACAACTTTTCTAAGGATTTGGGCCTATTCTCCCAGCAGCTGAATATGTTGGATATTTTAGAATCTCATTGTTTTTATGTATGTGTAACATTATTTTTTGCTATTATTTTTAAGTGCAATTTATTTATTGTGTTCAAAAGTCTGTTAATTTTTAAGTAATTTCATTATTTCGCAAATGCCGTGCGTGGCTGCCATAGGAGTGTAAATTTACTCCTATTGTAATACATGTTAACTATAAGCATCTTCACAGTTTGTATTCTGTAGCTATGCCAAAAATAAACAAATATGTATTTATTTTTTGTATTTAAACTTGAAGAAACCAACCTTCAACAAACCAAACTTTAAACTAATAGATAGAGAAAAACTCAGGTAAGGTGTTGGTACCAGTAATTCATAAAATAAAGTTATTTCATCTAAAAGAGCGTCTCAATAAGACTTAATTGCACATACATATGAAATATCTAGTCCAAAATCGTCAATAGATATGAAACACTTTAAAATGGTCGGCAAGCAATAATCTATTGAATATCCGATCACTTTTACTGTTATACAATTTGGAACGCGATGGTTTCCGCTTTTACAGAGTTTGCGGCCAAAGACACATTGTTATTAGCCGAGAGCGTGTCATTGGAATGCCTGAACCGCGGAGGACGTGTGGTTGACTGACACACTTTCAGCTGACCTTAAGGGGAAACTGTGTAAGCTATGCGATTTATTCATTGCCATTGAATACTCAAGGAATTCAAAGTTCAAATACTTCCTTCACTGAACATTTTAGGCATACGTACGTGAGGCGCACTATAAGTTTCCGGAATGAATAAGAAAAAAATACTATAAATGGTTAGAAATGAATTTATTGTTTCTCAAAATATTCTCCGTTAGCGTTAATGCACTTTTTCATACGAATGAACCAATTTTGAAAACATTTATGCCATACCTCCGTGACAATCTCTGAAAGATATTTTTCATACTCTTCGACAGCCTCTTCAGGTGATGAAAATCGTTGACCGCGTAACTGGTTCATAATTTTTGGAATTAAATAAAAGTCACAAGGTGCCAGGCCGGGACTGTACGCGGGATGGCTTATAAGGTCATCGTCGTTCACCTTCAAAAATTCATTTGTCTTCAAAAATTTGTTTGAGAACTGGCATTATCGTGGTGCAAGACGATACGGAGACGAGATTGCGTTATTTCACATCAATGGTCACATTACAGCTTGGCGGCAGATATAAGTAAGGTGGCAGTACTTCCTTGGACAAACTCTTTCACAAGGAGCTCTACTGCTACTAAAAAGAATCTAGAATGATCGCTGTATTAGTCGTAGTGGATTCTCGAACCCGTTAAGTGCTCCTTTAGGGCACCTACGGGACCGATATAGTTTTTGCGATGCCGACGTTCCGATGATCTCAAGTGGATAGTGAATCTTCACGTCAGTCATTCCGATCTCTTATCTCAAACATTTGGGTCAGGAGCATCGTGACCGCAGATACGACATGTTGATTTTTATTTACTTCGTGATCACTCATAGAATGACGAATCATGCCTTTGATTGGACGTGATATCTGCTATCCGAAACGAAATGCGCTTTGTAGGCCAGATCACAAAGGTTATGTGCTTCTCATCTCAAAGATAACAATTGATTCGACCATTGTCCAAGTGAAAACCGTATAAGAAACTGAGAAACCGAAAGCCACATCTTGCGCATAGCAATCAACGTAGGAGACAGATAAGTAAGTAGCACATACTTCGTTTGCGAACGTCTCTTCCTTGACAATAAACTATTTACCCTACGTCACAATGCTTTTGTTCAATTCTCGGGTCTCTTCTCATACTGGTGACGTAGTAAAATTTTCTACAATTTCCATTTTACACTGATACCTCACGTCTAACGAAATCATAAATAAATATACGAGTATGAAGTATGGGCGATCATAAAATTAGGTGAGATTTATTGCTGTGCCCTCAGCTATATAATACGTCGTCTACTAGTAATAAGGTCCATTGCATTCGAATCAGACACAAAATAAGTATGTTTCTCATAAACGTAAATTATAAGTAAACATCTGTGATGCTCTGAATAATTCACGTCTAAAATTATCCTGTTTCCGATACTGGGGCACATATATCACTGAATCAACACCTAGGTATTCCTTGAGTAGATGACTCGTCTTACTTTCGCCACAAATTTGTCAGCCTTCATGTGGCAAATAAATGTTTTCCATACGAAAAGTCACTAAAAAATTGCTGTTTATTACAAATAAAGTATCATAGTTTTAATTATTAATACAAAGATCGAACACTCAGAAAAAATTCCTTCGATCCGGTCGGATTCGAACCGACGTCTTCTTGCATACCGTGCCAGACGCTATACCAACTAAGCCACGGAACGAACCAACGGACCTCACGAATTTTTCTATGTGCTTGCGTCGTGTCTTTGTACTTGGTCTTTCAACGACTTTGTAGTCGTAGCGCCATCTATGAGAAGTCTTTAACAGATTTATCACCCAGTTAGTACCTTTACAGCTACCAGTCCTGGCGAGAGATGTCGCTATTCACGAATATCGAAGGAATTTTTTCTAAGTGTTCAATCTATGTATTAATAATAATTATAACAAACTAAAGGAGTAATTTAACAAAAAAAATTGAATATCAATTCAATAAAAATTTCATTAATACAGTGAGTAGCGACATCTCTCGCCAAGACTGGTAGCTGTAAAGGTACTAACTGGGTGATAAATCTGTTAAAGATTTCTCATAGATGGCGCTACGACTAAAAAGTCGTTGAAAGACCAAGCACAAAGACACGACGCAAGCACATAGAAAAATTCGTGAGGTCAGTTGGTTCGTTCCGTGGCTTAGTTGGTATAGCGTCTGGCACGGTATGCAAGAAGATGTCGGTTCGAATCCGACCGGATCGAAGGAATTTTTTCTGAGTGTTCGATCTTTGTATTAATAATTATAAGAAACTAGTGGAGTAATTTCCCAAAAAATAATTGAATATCAATTCAATAAAAATTTAATTAATACAGTGAATAGCGACATCTCTCGCCAGGACTGGTAGCTGTAAAGGTACTAACTGGGTGATAAATCTGTTAAAGATTTCTCATAGATGGCGTTACGACTAAAAAGTCGTTGAAAGACCAAGTACAAAGACACGACGCAAGCACATAGAAAAATTCGTGAGGTCCGTTGATTCGTTCCGTGGCTTAGTAGGTATAGCGTCTGGCACGGTATGCAAGAAGACGTCGGTTCGAATCCGACCGGATCGAAGGAATTTTTTCTGAGTGTTTTTTCTGAGTGTTCGATCTTTGTATTAATAATTATAACAAACTAGTGGATTAATTTCACAAAAAATAATTGAATATCAATTCAATAAAAATTTAATTATCATAGTTTTTTTAGGTTATTTTAGTTTCGAGTTAATAAAAATATTTTTTAATTACAATCATTATCATTACACAAATCAAATCATAACTTCATTTGTTTTGATTATTTATAATAATATTATGAAACTATGAAACAGCACATTAAAAACAAATATGTATGGAACAATTTTTTCGGACCTAAATCCCGTTCATTTGTTTTTCACGGTTTTGACCCTTTACCAGTCCCACAAATACATGTGATTTAGATGCGGAAAAAAGTTTCATTTCCAATGCATATTAACGACGAATAGACGTAAGACATTCGATAAAATGAAACAACACACCAACAATAAAAGTGCATAATGATTACGAATATATGAAGTCGTCACAAAAACCTAAAACTTCAAAAACGCCTTACCTAAAAGCAGCCGCCTGGCAATCTGGCTCTTCTCTGCACCAGCCTTGACACTCGTAAAGCGACAGATTCCGTACAGTGTAGTACGCTGTGCCGGTAAAGTCCACATCAGTCAGTTTCTCGAACGCTATTCGACCTACAACATAATTCTTCCTGTTAGAAGAGTTATAGTGAAATTTATTACCTACTAACCCACGTTTAGAGCGTATTTCTGAACCAAGAATTACGACAACGGAATGTAAAAGATACGCTTATAAAATATCCAAAACCATAGTGCAATTACAAAATATCGGTAAGTTTGTGTATTTAGATTTCCTTGTATTGCTACATAGCATGCTTCTAATAAACATTCACGTGATCAATTGATTGCTAAATGAGGCTATCAGCGCAAAAGTGGTGTAACCCCATGAAATGTATAATGAGGGATTTAAAATTAGCCATTTTTATTTAATATATCGTCGGGGATAGTGCAAATTTAAGCGCGTATTTGCAGTAAACTAAATTTTACTAGAGAGGGATTTAAAGTTATTACTTTGTTATTTCAATGGCTACCACTATCATTCTTGCACAGTAAGCATTAATTTATATTGTCTACGGACTGACAATAATAGATTTCCATAAATCACTCTAATTTGGTTGCCAAGGCATTTACGCGGAGTTGCTTTGGCCACTAAATTACAGAAATGAAAACTCATAATCCAATGCTAGTTACGCGTAATTGCCCTATCCCCGACGATATGCTAATCATATATGACCAATATATAATTTTGAAATTTTGTTATGAAACTAGCATCATAGCAATTGTGTACTTAAGTACCTAACATTTGAAATAATTAAGCAAAAAAAAAAACTTACGCGCTGATGGCCTCAATTAATAGCAAGCAATAAGTAAGTCTTACCGATGACAAAGGAAGCCTGCAGCAGGAACAGTGCCAGCCGCGCTACGCGCAGCGCCTCGCGCCTCATGCCGACACACCCGCACACCTGGTACAACACAACAAAAATATTTTTAAACATCCGATTGTACCGGACAATACTAATGCACACAAAATTGGTAAATAGGAAGGAGCCATTCAAAGCACCCTTCTATGTGTATCAAGTGAAAACCTGTACATCTTTCAAAATTCTTCATATCTTACGAAATGCTCCATTGGAAGTCACTTCATACAGTGAAAAAGTCGGGGGTGCTTTACATGGCAGCCAGCCAAACCTTTATTAACAAACCTTTACAATTAATATACCTTTACAATTACAAACGCAGACAATTATTTCGCGTATAGTATTTTATGTACAGCTTTTTAAAGACTACAAAATTGTATACAAACTGCTCGTTTCGCCGTTTACATTTATGATTATAAAGTTTAATGGATGTGATTTTTATATAATACTAGTAGCAATAATGAGAAGAAGAAAGAATAAATCTACCTCAATTCTCTGTAATCGAGTATGTTCGAGTATGTTATCGAAATATGTTTATTTTTATTTCTGCTTTCGAAGTATCAAAGGAAATAATGTCGAGTTTGTTATTTGTAGACGATAACTACCATTGTAAGCCTAGGAATTTAATTTTGCAGTCTACCGGCCAGATGCGGGTCAAGACCAAAGCTTAGGCAGACGAAAGCAGCTGGAAAGTCAGTGACACAAATTTTCATTTATTTTTTGCATTACAATATCGCTTTCACTTCAATCTTTTTTATGAAGGAGAATGAATGACTATTTGTAAACGTGAAAGTACGACGATTGTTGTGTAGTTCTCCCTACAAAGTTGTTGTAATTGCTGCGTCTACATATTTAATGATTTGAACGGCATACAGTTATTACTAAGCACAGTCGATTTCACACTTTTAATAAAAAATTAAAACGTTCTTGTATTGGCTAAAACTGGAGCAATAAGCGAAAGGCTAAATGTATCCGGTCATTCAATGATAAAACTTAAAAAATACACTTATGCCGTTATATTAAACTTGTTGCTTTCACTAGCATGCGTAAAGTGGTGAATTCTATGTGATAATTTGATACCTTCTTACGGACCGAAAAGTACACTATGAAAATTTGATAAGTACCTTACTCCGTTACTGTAATTATGTAATTTGTAGGGAAATTGTCTTGAACATCGCATTTGCTTATCAGCCCTTGTAATTGTTCATAGAATCATCAAGCATAGGTTATTATGCACCGTGAGTTTTGAAACATGCCGGAAGAGACAAGTTTGCGGTACACTCTTACCTTTTTAACGTACCGCAACCAACTGTCTTGTGGTAATGACAATTTGAAACTGTTCATCTTTCTTGTTCCCATGCTTCGTTTATGATCTATCTGAAATTAGAATCATTTAACTACAAAAACTGTTTCTTATCCCATTGCATAGCATAGTCGCAACTTTGGTTAATTTAAATGAAACATCGAAATTGCTGTTACGTAAACTGTATATTTCTGATATTTATTTTATGGTAACTGATAGCTGTGAAGGTACCTAGCTGAGTGAAATTCTTAAAGTCTGCTGATTCGATCTGTAACTCAATTGGTAAGAGTGGTAGCCCCGGTTTGGCAAACCGACACTGGTTCGAGTTTTTATGTGTCTCCAATCTTAGTATCTATAGAAATTAGCCTAACCTTTAGCTCCCATAAAACATACGCCATCAAAAGATAACGTTGAATATAGAGATGCAAAATCGTGATATTCTATGCAAAACATTGAGAAACCTGCCCAGGTGGTTGACATTTGAATTTGCTAGCATTCTCACACCTAGTTTGGTAAAAGAGCGGAAGGAGTAGAACAGTTAGCTCACCTATAAGTCGCCAGTCCGACACCTTGGCCGCGATATCCCGCAAGCGGAACCTTGGTTCGATCTAGTGAACAACACGACGCCCCAGTCATATTGTACTCAAATAAAAAGGGTGAATCATGGAAAATAACGATTATTTCGAAATAAAAACGAAACACTCATAAGCACATTGAGAGCAAGATTGAGAACATAATTAAAACAAGAAAGGCGCTCCATTCCCGAAGGGTAGAAAGTATTTGTGCAACACGGTTACCAAATCTGAGACTATACAGATACTCCGGTTGGATACACAGCCATTGATAAATCCAAAATAATTTCAATTAAACAAATTAAAATACTTGTAATACTGAAGCGGCAATAAACAAGTTAGATATACGAGTGATAAGTATCGCGAAAAAGATATAGATCTGCAGGAAGCCGTTACCTTATAAGTGAAAACTAAACGGGACGTGACAAGTGCGCGAGTAGCAGAACACAGCAATTAAGTGACGTGATCCATATGTCACTGTTCACATACATAATGATCGTAACAGTTATATCACGATACGCAAGAGCGTGTCGCAGCGGGAACGGCGCGGACTCAGCCTCCGTACGATATGCATTCACAAATTGCCCAATTTAACGGTGAAGCCGACTCCGCGAGCTTACATCTTAACAGTTTTATCATCGGCGAACTAGAAAGCAATTTGTCGACGCATAATATATGCGGCTGCTAATTTACGCATTTGTTGAAAGGTAATTCAGCCTTTACGATGATCATGCGCTTTGATGTTACAGTGTTGCAGATAAGAGCGTAAAGTACTGTTGATTTTTGACTATTCAAATAACCTTCAAATATCGAACGTTAACTACTTACTTTTTTATGTTAACTAGTGACGGGACGAACAAGTCGTGCACCTGATGGTAAGCGACACGCCTGCCTAAAACAGGTGCTGTGCCATTAAGAGCTTTAAATCGCAAAGATTTGAGGGACGCTTCCACTGCGACTGTCACCCTAAGACATAAAAGTCCCATGTGCCTGTAATTTTACCAGCACCCTAACCCTTCCAAACAGGAATAGTGTAATGATCACCGCTTGGCACCAGAAATACTTAGGGTACTTCCATAGATGATATCTTTCACGATGAGCTCTACTGCTCTACTAAGATTTTACATTCCTATCGACATGTCTACACGTCCCACTTGAGTTGGACATAGCTTGAGCTATGAATAACATAATATACACGTGAAGCCTATAATAAAGAGCACACGTTATACTTACACGTGTAATTCAAACACATTCAGCGGGAAACATTTCAATGGGATTACGTCCAATCATAGCCAATTTAATTCATAATCAAGCCGTCTACATGTATGAGGCAAGAAGCACACGATGGACTAATAAAACCATTCTTTCCAATCAAGAATGCACCGGTGGATAGTAAGCATATGCAATTAATAATTAACATTTAATAGAGCGTGCCGTGGCGCCCTCCTAGCGATTCCCATTACGACAATGGCTACTCTCGCGTTCCCATGCCGACGGATGGATTAGCCATCAATTTGATGCCGGACTTTATAATTATTTACATTCAGTTCCATACAATGAAATTATAGACGTGTGAAGCGCATGTAAGTGTCTGCTTATATGCAGTTTCTTACCATGAAGACGACGGTTATTAGGTACCTCCAAGGGAAAGTTTTCGCAAATGTCACGAGGAAAAAATACACAATGGTGAACCTTTAGGTACCTTTATAATTAACTTATGTGGATACTAATTTTTTTTAAGTACCGTAACACAGGTTTTATCGAGATTGGACGCGAGTCTTCCACCTTATACCACCTTCCACCTTACCTTCCTAGTTAACATTATAAATATCTATATTTGTACAAATTACCACTGTAATGAGCCCAATAATAATGTAACCTTTTTTCAATTATTTTACCTATTTTACTTTAAGTCTTATTTAGAAATAAATAATTAGCCGTTTCTCATGTTTTTCATTAATTTGTTTCCATTTCTACTAATGCAGGCTCATTGAATGGTTGAGGTTAATTTCGAGTTCTTGTAACATTTCGTAAAGTTGATTACAAAATTTACAATTTTTAAATTTTTAACCATTTCTTTTTAGGATAAACCTATTTTTCTGGATTTAAATCGATTAATATATATGAGATTTAAATCTGGAAAAATAGTTTCATTTCCTATGTATAACAATCGCGAAAACCTAAGAACATTTCTTCAGGAACGAAATATTGTTTTATTTATCCCATCACAAAAACAGGCTTGCAAGTAGATTGAGTAATAGAAGAAAAACAAAATCGGATATGCTGGTTTGTGAGAGTCAGGTTAAGAAAAAAACCTGTGTTACAGGTCACCAGGCTTCCACTCTGCAGGTGAGCGACAATGTTCTGGCATGGTTGTGATACAATGAAAACGTATATAAGATATGTTAATATTTATAAGTTGCCATAAAACAAGTAGGTACTAAGTAAATAATGAGGAACTCTAAGACTTACTTAACTCTAATTATCTTCGACATATAAAGAGTGAGGATGGATGAGTATTTTTAAGGTACGCGTGTAACTGAGTATGTGTATAGTAAGTATGGTGTGTATAGTTTGTAAGGTGTGTGAATGGGTTTAGGCGAGAGTCCTAAAAGTTGAGATTGATCATTTGAGTACAGATAGTAATAGGTAAGTGTCGTCATAATTTAGGGTTTTAATCCAGTTGGTAATAGTCGTTTTACAGATAGACTTAGGAAGCGAAATCATTTCGTATTACATATATTTTCGTTTCTTTATAAATAATAACTTTATTAGCAGTTAGTGTGGTTTACAGAGATGTAATATACATATTTATAATAATAGTTTCCCACACCTAGCTGGTTACAGCATGCAAACGCATATTATTTTATTTTGACATGAATTATCCGTTAATGACATTAATATATTTCAACTATCAATTTACATTTCAAATAACTGATATTTTGCGGTCAAAGTATTCTTGAACCGAATAAAAGCAACAGTTAGACAACCATGCGGACAACCTTCTTCGGAACAAGGCACTAGGCATATCTTTAAATTCAGGCGGTACGAATTATATATTTTTACACATATGGGAAAATAATTACGCTGATACACTTCCATTTTTATTTTAACTGTCTTTTCAATAAAGGTTGAGTAAAGTATTACAAAGTCGATGTTAAAAGATGTCA